ACAACTAGACTGAAGAACAAAATGACAGCAACTTGTCTGTTCCCCTTCCCCCAATTCCCCAGCACTGTTCCCATCCCCCCAATTCCCCAATAAAAAAAATCTTTAAAAAAAAATTTTTTTTTCATTTATAAAAATTTCATTTATAAAAAAAGGATATTCACATAATGGTGATTCAGTAAAAATATATTTATGGCTCTCAAATAATTTTTAAATTGTTGTCAGGTACAGGATTGGCTCTTCCAGGGGCCGGCAAACTTTTGAGATGGAACATACCCAAAGAGCAGCATGTGGCTCGCGAGCCTCAGTTTGCTGACCCCTGGGATAGAACAAGGGATAAGATAGCAAGAAGATCAGCAAAGAAACAGAAGACTTGGACAACACTATAAAACAACCATTTATAGAACACTCTACATAACAAGAAAAGAAGAATATACATTATTCTCAAGTGTACATGGGACATTTCCAGCATAGACCATAGAACATAAAACAAGCCCCAATGAATTTAGTATAGAAGATAAAAATAAAAGATTGTTTTAATAAAGTATGCAGGATAGACATAATTATAAAATTAAAAGGACAGAAATGATACCAAGTATATTTTTCAACACTAGAAATCAAAACAAAGAAAACAGGAAATTTCACAAACATATGGAAATTAAGTAATACACTCTTAGAGATATAATGGGTCAAAGAAGAAATCGGGCGGCCGGGTAGCTCAGCTGGTAAGAGCTCGCGAGCTCTGGACAACAGTGCTGCCAGTTCAATTCCCACATGGACCAGTAAGCTGTGCCCTCTACAGCTAAGATTATTAATAATGGCTTGACCTGGAGCTAGGCTCCTGTGAGCGGTCAGCAGCCGGAGTGAGTGGCCGGTTACCGGTGTGAGCTGTCGTGACTAGCCGTGAGCTGCCGGTGACCCACTGCTCAGCCAGGTAGAGTGCAATAATCAGAATACCAACATGGGCCAGTGAGTGGCATCCTCCACAACTAGAATGAGAACAATGGCACAGAGGTGGGGGGGGGAGGGAGAGGAGAAGGAGGAGGGAGGAAGGAGGAGGGGGAAAGAAGAAATCAAATCCAACATAAAAAATACTTCAAGATGAATAAAATGAATACATGTACATGAATAAAAGTAAAGGAGATGAAGCATAAACAGTGCTTACAGAGACATTTTTCTTTTTTCTTTTTTTTTAAAGATCTCAAATTGACATAGCCTTCTACTTCAAGATACTGGAAAAAGAAAACCAAAATAAATCTAAAGTAAGAAGAAGAAAGGAAATAGATTCAAGTGCAAAATAATTAAATAGAGAATTTTTTAAAAATAGAAAAAATCAAACAAATGGCTGATTCTCTGAAAATATCGACAAAATTGACAAAATTTTAGCTTGATTAATCAAAATGAAAGAGCTGGGACTCAACTTAGTAGAATTTAAATGAAAGAGGGGACACTCCTACTGACCTTATAAAAATAAAAAGGATTATAAAATAATATTATGGGGCCGGCCAAGTGGCGCATTGGTTAGCAGTTGGTTGGGGACGCTAGCTCTGAGCAGCAGAGACTCGTTTCAGATCCCACATGAGGGCCAGTGACACTGCGCCCTCTACAGCTCAACCTGGAGCTGGCCTGCCATGAGTCACTGGCGACAGCGGCGTAAGCTGCAGTGGAGCTGCAGTGGGCTCCTGTAAGCTACCGTGAGCAGCTGATAGCCGGCGTGAACTGCCAAGAGCCACAGTGAGCGGCTGTCCCATGGCCAGTGACCAATCTGCCTCACCCGGGAAGAGCGCAATGATAATACCAACATGGGCCAGTGAAGTGACGTCCTCCACAATTAGACTGAAGAACAAAATGACAGCAACTTGTCTGTTCCCCTTC